GATTTCTTGTTGATTGAAACAGGTTCCTACACACCTGGAAGCATCCACAGCACCACGGCCCTCTTCACATCCCTGGGTGTTCCCCTGTCCCCAGACAAAACCATGGGCACCACCACCAAACTAGTTTTCCTGGGTATATCACTTGACACAGTATCCTTCCAAGCTAGCCTCCTCCAGGAGAAATTGTTCCACATCAGAGAGGAAATAGATCTCTTTCTTCAGAGTGATACCTGCACACGGAAAGGCTTCCAATCTTTATTGGGGTCCCTTAACTTCACCATGCAGATAATCCCACAGGACAGATCATTTGTCTCCAGGCTACTATGTCTCTTACATGGGTTACCTGACACAGGTACTATAACCATCAACCCACCAGCCGATTGGAATGGAGTCTCCTTGTTTATTCCCCCACTATCTGACCAATCTCCAATAATTCGGACAGACGCAGCAGCACACACTGGGTTCGCCGCAATATTTGGAAACCATTGGTTTAGGGACAACTGGCCAATGGAGACGGCTGCCCTGCTGGCCTTTAGAGAAACATTAGCCTTATTTGAAATTTACAACTCAGCAGCTTGCGAAATTATTAATAAAGGACGTTCCTCCTCATTAACTATCATCAGGTTGGTCCGCGAGTTGACATGGTTAGCAGCCACTTCACAATTTACCTAGTATGTGAACATATCCTGGGCAATTGTAACACAGCTGCTGATGCTCTTTCCCGCTCTAGTTTTCAGGTGTTCTTCCAGGTGCACCCTTCTGGCAACAACCTACAACCCAGAATACCGTCATTCCACGAATTAATCATGGACTAACTGACCTGTTACGTCACGCCCAATCACTCACGCACAACGCACTCTCAGCCAACATCACGACCAATTATGCCAGTGCACTGACCATTTTCCACAAATTTGCAGCAGAATTCCAAGTACAGGGTAATTTCTCTATACCATGGTGGCTTTTGCCTCTTTCTGCCATTTACATCTAAAATTATCACACAACACCATCAAACTATATCTCACAGGCATATAAGATCACATTCTTACAACTTTTCCCAATCACCCTCCTTTTCTATCCTGTTACCCTATAAAGAATATCCTGCAAGGTATCAATAAAACAGTTTGCCCCCCTGTAACCAGTAGACTGGCCATAGATGGGCCTACATTCCAGAAACTCAGCGACCTATTATACACCAGCCCCTTTGATTCCCAGACTAACTCTGTCATTAAAGTCGCTATATTCATTGCCTTCTACAGCTTTCTTAGACCTAGAGAGTTTACTGTCATACGCCAGTCAGATGCCAATACAAGTTTAAAGAATTCTCAAGACAACGACCATTACATCCTTTCTTTGCAAACCTCAAAAACGAATCACACCAATCAACCTACTACAATTCCCCTCTTTCCTACAGGGAATGACTGGTGCCCAGTTAAAGTACTAGATACTTTCCTAAGCATTCGCCACAGTCACCCACCTAACTCTCCACTACTACTACTCCACGATTAACCTCTCACCACATACAAGTTCATCTTTTACATCAGAACTCTGCTATTAAGGTAAGGCTACAACCCCTCATCCTTTTCCGGACACTAATTTCGGATAGGAGCAGCTTCATCGGCATCTAGTTCTAACACACCAGTCCACATTATTAAAAGACTGGGCCGATGAAAATCATGGATTTATAATACCTATATCCCACGACCAGAACAAGAGCTAAGGAATGCATTTAAATGTTTAGCCTTATAAGAAGCAATAAAGTGTGTTTTTTTTTTCTTTTGCCTTCTTTTATTACAGGTCTACTCGTTCCTTGGTTTCGGCACACCTCAACCAACACTACATCACCTACCACATTCCATAATCGATTAAATTCTGACCACAAGTAGAAAGGCCATAAGGCCTTTTTAAACATTTAAACATTAGCATTCTTCTTACCTATACCATTCATGCTGGTTGACCCCACCCACCTTCACCCTTCACCTATGACATTATCATTACCTTAGAAGGCCCTCTTATATTACAGGCCTACTCGTTCGTTGCTTTCGGCACACCTCAACCAACACTACATCACCTACAACATTCCATAATCGATTAAATTCCGACCACAAATACATACAGTATATACTTAATATAGCACAGGAACACTGACATACAGGGGCGTACCTAGAGCATTTGGCACCCGGGGCGGATCCTGTGCTTGGCACCCCAAAAAAGAACCTGTAAAAAATGTTAAAGGTTTTCTTTAATTAAACCATACCCCTTAATTAAACCATACCCCTTAATTAAACCATACCCCTTAATTAATCCACACTAATTCATCCACACACCCTTAATTAATCCACCCCCCTTAATTGATACACACACCCTTAATTAATCCACACTAATTAATCCACCCCCTTAATTAATCCACTCCCCCATAATTAATCCACACTAATTAATCCACCCCCCATAATTAATCCATCCCCCCTTAATTAATACACCCCACTTAATTAATACACCCCCATAATTAATCCACCCCCACTTAATTAATCCACTCCCACTTAATTAATACACCCCCATAATTAATCCACCCCCTTAATTAATCCACCCTCCATAATTAATCCACCCCTATAATTAATTCACCCCCCATAATTAATCCACCCCCCTATAATTAATACACCCCTATAATTAATACACCCCCCATAATTAATTCACCCCCTATAATTAATATACACCACCCCCATAATTAATACTCCCCCATAATTAATTCACCCCCTATAATTAATATACACCACCCCCATAATTAATACTCCCCCATAATACACCCCCCATAATTAATATACACCCCATAATTAATATACACCCCCATAATTAGTACACCCCCCATAATTAGTACACCCCCATAATTAATATACACCCCTCATAATTAATATACACCTCCCCCATAATTAATATACACCCCATAATTAATATACACCCCATAATTAGTACACCCCCCATAATTAATATACACCCCCATATATACCCCCATAATATTCTCCTCTCTCACCCCCTTTCCCCCCTTTCCTTTCTCATCCCCTTTCCCTTTCTCTCCCCTTTCCCTTTCTCATCCCCCCTTTCCTTTCTCATCCCCCCTTTCCCTTTCTCATCCCCCTTTCCCTCTTTCTCACCCCCCCTTTCTCCTCTTTCTCCCTCCCCCCTCCCCCCTACCTTTGCTGTAGCGTGGCCGAGCCCTGTATAGTCGGCGGGTACAGGGAGCTTTTGTTTCCTGTACCCGGCCGCAGGGCCGTCTATAATATGATTAGGACCCTGGGCAATGTATTAATTACACCCAACCCGCAATCACACTGACAGACATACTGACACATACGCACACAGACAGACATATTAAAACATTCTCAGATACATACTGACATACACATACACTGACACACAAATATATACTGGCAGACATATTGACACACACACACACACATTCATGAATACACAGACACAAACTGACAAATATACTGACACACACAGACGCATACACTGACAGACCTATTGACACACACAAACAGGCATTCTGACACAGACACACAGGCAGACATACTGACACACACACAGACAGACAGACATACTGACACACACAGGCAGACATACTGACACACACACAGGCATACTGACATATACAGACACACACAGACATACTGACACACACAGACATACTGACATACACACACACACAGAGACATACTGACACTCACAGACATACATACACACATACTGACATGCACACAGACAGACATAGACACACACAGACCTACATTTAGCCACCCTCCAGTTTCCTACCTTTTTCTGGAGGGTGGTTTCCCTGGTCCAGTGGCAGGCTGAGGCAGATTGGAGTTCTCCTCTGGAACTCCCCTCCTCCCTGCCTTCCTCCTTCCGCGCGGTTGTGATCACCGGTGGGAGGAAGTGACGCGCGGCACTCACTTCCTCCCAGCCGGCTGCCGAACAGGAAGGGGCCCGGTCGCGCTGTTTAAGTGTCACAGCGCCCGACCGGCCCCTTCTGCCACATGCCCACCGGGTGGCCCTTAGTGCATGGGCCACCCGGGGGCCCTCTTTAGCGTGCGGCTGGTGTGGCTCTGTGCAGCCGCCCCGCCGGGTCCAAGGGGAGCTGCTGAAATCGCGGGGCCCACGAGGCAGCTGCTCTGGGGCCCCTCAGGAGCAACTGGGCCCGGGGCAGCTGCCCCGTTTGCCCCGCGTTAAAGACGGCCCTGCCCGGCCGGACTAACAGGATGTGCACACTCAGTGTTCACTTCCTGTTAGTCCGGCCGGGTACAGGAGACAGTTGCTCCCTGTACCCGCCGACTATACAGGGCTCGGCCACGCTACAGTGAGGGAGTGACAGGAGGGAGCGCTCAGCGCTTCCCTCCTGTCAGCCTCTCCCCATGCTGCGCCCGGGCGGTGCGGTCCGCCCTCATGGACGCACCGCCCGGGCAAAGCTGCAGCCGCCTGAGGCTCTCTACAGAACGCTCGGGCGGCTGCAGCATGGGGGGGGCGGCGGGGCTGGTCATGGCACCCCCCACCCTGGTGGCCCCCGGGGCGGACCACCCCTCCCGCCCCCCCTTTAGTACGCCACTGCTGACATACACACTGACACTATACACATACATGAACACTGATATCCAGTGACATTTTAAAAAACATTGACATAGAAAGAACTGTATTGTATTTATTACTGACATTTATAAAGCGCCAACATATTTCGCAGTGCTGTACAATTAGAGGAAAACGGCCAATATACACACACCGATACAAAAAGTAAAAAGGGCCCTGTCTGTGAGCTGAGATCAAGCCATTAAAGCTCTTTTATACAAAGTGCTCAGTTTGATAGCCCTTGCGCTTACAATCTAAAGTATATAGTGGAGACAAGGGGGAGAAGGGGATATTAAAAGTGAAGTTAACAGAGAGTTGCAGCTACTGGTAAAAATTAAAGTAAACAAGATAAATTAGTATGATCTCAAACAGCTGGAGGAACATGCTATATATTTAGTAGGTTGCTGGGAAGTGCTTAGATAAAAGGAAGAGATTCAGTTTTGTTTTGATCTGGGTGTGTGAAGTCAGGCCTAAGGAACAGGCATGGAGATGAGACATGGTTATATTAAAGTATCTACAGTCAGGAGGGGCAAACGATGGAGAGTAAATGGGTGGTAGGGCACATATTTGATGTATACAATTGAAAAGCTGACCAACCAAATTCTATCACTCACAATATTAATAACAATATGTACTTGAAATATTAGTTAATACATTAACTGAACATAACAATAAAAAACTGTATGCACAGAAAATTACAGTGGCAAACTACAGGTATAAATGGTAACAATACTACAGTAACAAATAATAATATGGTAACAAAGTTAGAATAAATCAGGTAGAGCAGTGGTTCCCAAAAGTTTTAGGTTCAAGGCGCCCTTAATAGTTCAGTATATTTCCCAAGGCACCCCAAGTCAAAATTTCTAGGTTGTATATCTGTACAGCACTGCGGCATTTACTGGCACTATAGTGTAATGTACAGTGTTGGTGTTTGAAATGGTGCTTGTATATAGTTATTGTGTTTTAATACAGGGGTGTGTTTGTATGTAATGTTTGCGTTTGATTGCAGGGGTGTGTCTGAATGTAATGTTCACTTTTAAATGCGGATGTACATTTGTGTGAAGTATTTGTGTTTTAGTGAAGGGGTGTGTTTGCGTATATATTTGTTTTTGTTTGAATGCAGGCTGTGTTTGTATGTAATATTTGAGTTAGATTGCAGGAGTGTGCTTGTATGTTGTGCTGTTGTTTGACTGCTTGGATGTATGCACATACATACTTACACATATATTCATGCAGATTAACACACAAATGCATATAAATATACCAACAAATACACATAAATTCATATAGACACCGACACATACACACACATGGTTTCTTTTATATATATATATATACACACACACAGACACATATACACACATACATACACACCGACATATACACACATGCACCCTGACACACACAAACTTTGATACATGCCCACACCGTGACACAGATACACACACTGACATAAAAACACACACCCAGTCGCACATACACAGATGTGTGCACAGACACAGAAGCACACTGACATATATATAAACAAACACACACACACACATACACACACACACACAGATGCACACAATCACACACACACTCATACCCACACCCACACTCATTTTAACTACGTGTCTGTCAGTCCACCCATTGTACAGGGCTGTGAAATCTGTTGGTGCTTTATAAATAATAATAATAATGTACACTTAATAGTTACACACAGAGGACACTAACAGACACATACAAATTTACACAAAAAGGAAACTGACACGCACACTAACACAGAGGACACTGATAAAAACTTCCTGACAGACAAACACACACTGATTTTACACACACTGACAAAGATATTTAGCATTAGAACTATTGAATTTGTCTCCCACGTTGGAATTAATGTAGGACCCACCGATACTGGGGTACTGTGAAATAGTGGTGGGCTTAACACAATATGGCGATACAGTGGAACTGAATCCCCATATTTATTTGCTGAGACAGGTGATTTTAAGTAGTCTTATACATTTTTAGAATGTCATTTTTATGTGCAAGCTGTTCCTTAACCTGTATGTTTTATAAAGTTTTGTCTCTAGGGCAGCACCATTGCTGAGAATTGCATGTTCTAGGCATGCCCCCAATTCCCTTTTTTCTTTACTGTGTAAGTTTGAAGTCCAGACCAGATTCCTTTTGGGTTGAGCACCCTACCCCAGCCCCAGGTTTAGATGCCTCTTTGGAGGTGAGCTCAGAAAAGTATACATTTGAGGAGGTCTTGGATAGTAATGTCACTTTAATTATAATATTCATTTGGTATAGTACAGATATATGCATTGTGAGTATGTACATCAATCACATTAATTGTTTAGTTTTGATATCCCTTTTTGTCTATTGTGTTTTTTTTATCACATTAATGTTGCATTATATATAAATTCACAATGCTTTTACAACAGATTATTTAAATGCACTTTAGTTTATTTAGCACTAGCACTATTTAATTTGTCTCCCACATTGGAATTAGTGTAGGACACAGCAATAATTGAGTACTGAGATTTAGTGGTGGGCATAACACAATATGGCCATATGGTGGAACTGAATCCCCATATTTGTATGCTGAGATAGGTGATTTTATGCATCCTCATAAAATGTGAAACTATTTTTATGTGTGCACTGTTCCTTAATCTGTAAACATACACGTTCACTGGCAGAAACACACATTCACTGATTTGACACACACTGACCGACACACTTACTGACACACACACACACACACTCACTGACAGACACACACAAATTTGACACACTGACAGACACACATTTACTGCCTGACACACACTCACTGACAGACACATACACATTCTCTCACACACGTTCCCAAATTAGTATTTTTTACCATTTTTATTTATGTCCATCCAGCCTTCCTACTTTTGGGAAAGCAGGAGTGGATAATTTCCCTGGGGTCCAGTGGGGATCCTTTCCAGGGCCGTCTTTAATATTGATTGGACCCTGGGCAAAGCATTTGCTTGGGCCCTTGGACCCTGTACATCCTCCCCAGGCATGCAATCACGTTATCATCCTTAACGCAGTGGCAACCTAAAGTAGAGAGGTGCAAGATATTTTTTTTGGGCCTCCCTATTGCAAGGATGTTTAAAAGGTAGATCCCCATCTGTCTTGAAACTCCAGCAATGCCTTGACAGCTGGGGCTCTACCATTTACCCATGATTGCAGGTTTGTATTTAGCACTAAGCAGTTTTTGTGTGTTCCAATGTAAACAGGTTTTTGTATGGAATATGTTTGTATGTGGTGTTGGCGTTTGAATATAAACATGGATTTATGTGTAGTCATAGGCGTGCGCACGGGGTGTGCCTAGGCACACCCTAATCCCCGCGGCACGCGCTATGTGCCTCCCTACGTGGGATCTCCCTCACCGACCTACAGGCAGGGAGGGAGGCAGGAGAGGACCCGGGGAGCTCTTGACAGCAGCTCCGCCGGGCTCCTCTCGCACGGTCGGAGCATTGCCGCGGTTCACGCGGCAACGCTCAGATCTTGCGAGAGTGAACCACCAGGGAAGGCAGGAGCACGGTCTCTCTACATAAGGTAAGAAGGGAGGGGGGATATTAACTAAACAGCCCCCACACATTACACACAAACATACAGCACACACATACATCACCCTTACACACACAGCACACACACTAACAGCACCCTCACACTAACAATACCCTTACACACACAGCACCCTCACACATACACACAGCACACACTAACAGCACCCTTACACACACAGCACCCTTACACATACACAGACTAACAGCACCCTTACACACAGCACCCTCACACACACAGCACCCTTACACACACACAGCACACACTAACAACACCCTTACACTAACACCCTCACAAATGCACACACTAACAGTACCATTACACGCATCACCCTCACACACACAGCACCCTTACACACACACAGCACACACTAACAGCACCCTTACACACACAGCAGCCTTACACATACACACACTAACATCACCCTCATACACAGCACCCTTACACACACACAGCACCCTTACACACACAGCACCCTCACCCACACACACAGAGCACACACTAACAGCACCCTTACACACACACACTAACAGCACCCTTACACATACACACACACAGCACACACTAACAGCACCCATACACACACAGCACCTTCACACACATACAGCGCCTTCACACACACAGCGCCTTCACACACACAGCGCGCCCACACACACAGCGCACACACAGCGCCTTCACACACAGCGCCTGCACACACACAGCGCCTTCACACACAACACCTACACACACACACAGCACCTACACACAGCACCCTCACACACACAGCAGTGTGTGTGTGTGTGTATGTATGTGTATATATATATATATATATATATAAATATATATATACGCGGCGTGTGTTTCTGCTTTAGGGTGCACACCCTTATACAATAGGCTGCGCACGCCTATGTGTGTAGTGTTGGTTTTTGAATGCAGGACTGTGTATACATATAATGTTGGTGTTTAACACAGACGTGTAATTGTATGTAGTGCTGAAGCTTGAATGCAGGGTTGTATTTTTGTGTAGTGCTAGTGTGAATGTTGAGATGTATGCACATATACACACACGTAGATATACACACACTGAAACACATGCAGACACACAGATATACACACACAATGACACACAAATACACAACCTGACACATAGATACACAACCTAACACACATTCAGATACACAGACACACATACTAATAACATACAGATATGCATACTGACAACATACAGATACACCGAAACACACAAAGACAACATACAGATACACACTGACACGCCGATACACATCCTGACATACACAAAGCTTTAAACACTGACACACATGCAGTTACACACACACACATATACACACCTGACACATTTGCAGATACACAGATACACACACAGACTTCATACAAATACACACACATATACACACTGACACACACACAATGACAACATATAGATACACACACACAGATATACAGACACATAGAGACAGACAAACTGACATACAAACATACACTGATAGACATACTTAGACAGACACACAAACTGACAGACATTCTGACATATAGACAGACATATATACAGAGAGAGACGCAGACATACTGACACACTGACAGACATGCTGACACATTCACCAACACACACACGCACTGACACAAAGAGCCATACTGATACAGACATGCACACACTGACATGCATATGGACACACACAGACACATACACTAACAGACATGCTGACACACACACACATATACTGACAGACATATTGACACATATTCACAGACACACACATGCACACAGGCATACTGACACGCTGACACACTGACAGACATATTGACATACACGTATACTAAGACATACTGACATACAATCACAGGCATCCTGACACACACACACACACTGACAGACATACTGACACACACTGACAGGCATTCTGACACATACACTGACAGACATACTGACACACACAGGCACACATACTGACACACACGGGCAAACATACTGACACACACAGGCAGACCTACTGACACATACACTGACAGACATACTGACATATAGACATATACTGAGACATTCACAGATACACACACACACACTGAGACACACACACATTGACACACACTGGCAGACATACTGACACATACACTGACAGACATAGGCAGACATACTAACACATATACTGACAGACATACTGACATATAGACATATACTGAGACATTCACAGATACACACAAACACATTGACACACACTGGCAGACATACTGACACATACACTGACAGCACAGGCTGACATACTGACACATACACTGACATATATAATGACATACAGACATACACAGACATTCACAGATACACACACACACATTGACACACACTGACAGACATACTGACACATACACTGACAGACATAATGACATACAGACATACACACACACACACACACACACTGGCAGGCATACTGACACACACACACACACACAAAATTTACACTATGAAACCCACCTTCCCGTTTCCTACCTTGGAGGGTGGCTTTCCCACTTGTGGCTGAAGCTGTTGGGAGTTGGGGTCTGGCTAGTTTGGCCCAGACCCCCTCCGCTGTGCCTCTTCCTCCTCCTGCGCAGCTCCTCTCTTTATGGAAGTGACTTGCAGCCGTCTCTTCCTCTCAGACGGCTACCGAAAAGCAAGAGGGCCCGGTCACGCTCTTAAAATGCCAGAGCGCAAGACCAGGCCACTGCTGACAGAAGCCCACTGGCTGGCCCTTAGTGCATGGGCCACCCGGTGGGCCTCCTTAGTGCGAGGCTGCACCGGCGGATGGGAGAAATGCTTGAGGCTAGTGGGGCCCACAGTGCAGCTGCTTCAGGCACCCCAGGAGTAACTGGCAGCTCCCCCGTTTTCCCCGCGGTAAAGACGGCCCTGATCCTTTCCCTGGGGTCTAGTGTGCTGTCATCTTTGTGCTGTTCCAGCACTTCTCCCTTGCGCGCTGTTTAGTGATGCTGGGGAAAACAATAACCCAGTGCTGGAAGAGTACAGACATCACTGCTCCCTTACCGCCTGCCTTCATTCTCCTCTCTGGACACTGCACATTTGGGCAGAGTAGGCACCTGTTGTCCAAGTAAGCAGGTGCCTACTCTGCCTTACTGCACAGCAGGCCAGCTTCCGGCGTACCCCAGGTTGAGAACCTGTGCTTTAGGCCACTTTTTAGAACAGAACACTTTGGTATATCTCCCCCTACTGATTCATTTAAGTATTCAGAAGAACCTGTGGAATGTATTTGCAAAGTACTGCCTATGCAAAAGCACCCAGTCTGGCATTACCAGGTGGACAGCTCTGCAGAAAAAAAGACAAAGCACTAAGAATTTGCAGAGCATGATGTACACACGCTTGAGCACACTCCTGCAAACAGAGCTAAAGAATCCCAAGGATATGCAAAGTAGAATGCACACACTTTGAGCCCCACTTAAAAAAATTTCACCAGTAGGGATCTGCAAAGTATGACACATTTCTATACACAATCAGATAAAACTTAAACAAATTGCCCAGTAGCATGCACATTAACAGTGTTGTGGATAAGTACACTGTGTTCTGTGGGGGGTGAGGATGTTGTTTTCCTCTCTGCAGTGTTCCTCTCATCACTCCTCATCTGCTCCTCCTTCATTCTCCCTCCCTACGCGTCTCTTTATGCCCTCACCTAACTGACCCTCTCACACCCACCTCTTCTGTCCTAGATTTAAGAGTGTTGGCTTCATTCCCATTGTAACTTGTTGTGAAAGTCAATAGAAAGAGAATGGTGAGACAGAGTCTCTCGCAACAATACAAGAACTGGCAGTGACAGACGGACAGAAGTTTAAAAGTAGACAGGCCAACAGTATGCGAGAGAGAACCGAGAGAAGCAGGCAGAGGAACTAAAGCACACATGTGCATATACTGTGATAGAAAACTGGCAGAGACAGAGACAATATACAGGCACTCAGACAGAACCAGAAGACAGACAGAAGAGTAAAAGTGGACAGGCCCTCACACTCTAATAGAGAATAGAAAAGAGAGAATAACTTTTTTTCACAAATTGTAGACTGCAGAGACCAATAAATGGTTCCTCATTGGTAGCTTTCCAAAAAGTGACGGTGAATTTTGAACATATGAAACAAACATTCAAGGATTGCAACCAACTCTGTATAAAACACATCCACATACAACTATGCATACCATTCTTTCAAGACCCTGTCTGTCAAGGCTATCTTACATGAAACAAGATCTTCTCAGTATATATGTTCTTAATACAAACAGAAGTAAAGAGTGCCTTATTTTTCTGGGAAACAGTTCTAGAGTTTGATACATATTGTTTTCTGTTTTTGACAGGTTTCTTATTTTCACTATTTTCGAGTTCTCTTACTATGAGCTACAGCATATTACCAGTCTTTCCATGACGTGTTGCGGTCTCTTTTTACATGTCTCTCTCTGTCCCTGACACACAAATCAGAGTCATATTGGAAATCAATGTCCACGATGGCTCGAGGGCAACAGCAGCCCCATTTGCTCAGTGTCCTCTTCCCACACTTTGTCCTCTTTGCCGCTTTATCTCAGGGGCTTCAGACCTCTAGAAGATGTTCATGAGAGTGATCCTAATTCTTCGTCCACGCTTCTTGGTGTTTGTTTTTTGGAAAATGGACATGGGAAACATTGATATTGAGTTTGCAGTGATGATGTGAGATATAGTAGAAGCTACTGAGAAACACAATACCAAAAGACAGATTAATAGGACAGGAGAATAAATTTGTAATGGGCAGACAATAAGGAATTGTTTCAAGCCAATAGGATATCAGGAAAAATTCTAGAAATACCTTTTTGGAGAAGAGTGAAGGGAGATTCCAGTACTGCATCCTGGGATACGAAGAGTCTCACTTAAGAAAAAAACACAAGAGAGATCTGATTTCAAAGGTGAGAAAAACTAGACTACATCTATGTCTCTCTCTCTCTCTTTTTTAAACCAATTTAACTATACTTTCTGTCTCTTTGCTTTCTTTCTCTTTAACTGTCTCTTTCAGAATGGAAGCCAAGATTTCACAGTTGGAAAATAACAAGAGGGAATCCAGCCAGGAAAGGAGAAAGGGAGAGAAAGAAAGAGAGAGAGAGAGAGAGAGAGAGAGAGAGGGTGGAATAAAAAAGTGTGTGAGGGAGTGAAAAAGAGAGATATCTATTTGGGACATATTCATGGAAATCTAATAATAAAAAAATATTTATATCTGTTTGGTTTAGTGAAACAATCTAATAAAACTACTGCCTAGTTATTACAAATCTGAAATCTTGAGAATTGGCAGATAAACATAGTGTAATCACCTTATCTGCAAGTATAATAGATCAATGATTAAAATATTACAGAATAAATAAATACAGATAGGGAGACTGTGTGGTGCAATGTTAAAGAGTGATAATCAGAGGAAAAACTATACACTATAAACATAAATATACAATTGTATATATTGAGAAATGAGTGTAGAATGTTGCATGCTGGGGCAGAGAGATAATGGTACATATATTATTTTTTATATAAAGTACTATTAAACAGTTTGCTGTTGACACATCCCTCTTCCCCCTCTGGGTGCTGGCTACAGGTGCAGTCTCGTTTAAACGGGCTGTGACCACAATCAGATCCCATGCCCAAGATGATAGCCTTAGGGAGAGAGTATAAGCCAAGTAAAACAAGCTGAGGAAGCAGGCTCTACATTACAACCCAACCCCACACAAATTCACATTAAGCAAACCCTAGTGCACAGGCTCCAGCACTATACATTCTCATACACTCTACATCCGCAGTGCGTTTTTGCACATTCATACACTGTTAATGAGTGTGCATTATGGTTTTACATAAACATTCACATTCATGCGGTAGAAGAAGTTACATGCACATTTCAAATGGGAGCTTGGGAAGCATGATACATTCACGTGATTTTGGTGCAGTTACAGTCATTATGGTTAGGAGATAAGGAGTGTTAAGTACAAACTGCATATTCTACAGTTGCTCTTTGTATAACCACATATTCTGTAGTTATGGTGATGTATTAAACACATTTTAAAGCAATATCACTCATACAACTGTGGATCATACACTAAGCAAATACACTCACATTCATATTGCAAAGCCACGCACAATCAACATCTATATTGCTGAGTTTCACTCAGCAATACAAGAACACAAATACACTCTGATATTATTATTATTATTATTATTATTATTATTATTATTATACAAAGATCTTTCACATTAACAGCATTAATAATATCAGCTTTATTTAAAAAAAACTAATTGAAATTGTAACAAAGTGAAATTGAGGCTAAAGGATCAATGTTTGCCATTCAGTTTTCAATTCCCAACAAATCTGAATTTTGTGAACAACCTTGTTTGTGTCAACCAAAAGAAAATGCCAGCATGTGATTAATTACTACAGTAGTAGGGTATGCAAAGTGAATCTGAAGTGAATTCTACATGTTTTGCCAAATTAGCCAGCTTGGGTAATGTTTTTCCAATTTGGCTATTATTGGCACAAATTTGAAATTCACTTTGAATTCAGTTTGAATTCCACTTGTCAGATTCACACATTGCAAATCCAAAGGCTCAATTCACACACTAGAAAACGATAATACAAATCTACACTTTGAAATCATTGGTGCACACTAACGCACACAAAGACACTACATGTATATACTGCATGTAACATGGATATACTACTACAGTAGAAAGCAATTTCAATGCACAAGGGTTATGTGTGTATGTATGTGTGTTATGTACCTAAAACCATTTGCCATTATATCACACTAAGTTAAAACTCATTCAAACAGATGCTTACTCTCAAAAGAAGTTCCTTATTTAATTACCCAAAGCCATCTCTCTTATTTGTGCAAACATTTTTAAATAATCTTTTACACCTAGTTTCAGATACAGAGAGCAAGCCTTGCCCATACATTACTAATATAAATTATAAATTCAGATTCAAAAATTAAAAATGCATCACTAATACAAGTGGGACATATGTGTAATATTTAATTAAAATAAACTGAAAAGAAATTAATTACACAAAGATTTTAGAATTAGATGGTGCTAAAATGCCACATGAAACCCCCAGGACTTGCATTCCTCCTCTTTTCAACACCTTAATATGTCAAGATTCTTTCTGAAATTGTATAATTATTCTTATTTCACATTTAATGTTTTCATTAAACAGTGGATGGTGTTTTGGAATATGTACATGACATGAATCAAGTCTAAATGTATAATTTATGTAAAGGATGGCCTAATGTCTCACTGTTACGATTTAATTCTCCTATAGGTTAATGGAGGAAGATGTGTCACAGATAATTTCCTTTTATTTTGCTGTTGTGGTGCAAAATATGTGGAATTCTTCTCAATGTTTGTACTCAGAGGCTGTGGTTATGTCACAGGACAAATATACTACTTTTATCTTAATACAGTTTTTAATTATAAAAAAGATAGAAAATTATAAAAAAGATAGTCAAATTTGACTTATGCACCACCTGCAAAAAAGTAGCAGACAGCATTCATCCAGTATACAATGGCAGGATGTTCATAAATAGAAGAGTTCAGCATCTGTTTATTTTATAGTTTATTGAAACAGATGCAAACGCTTATATTCTGTGTTAATACCCATTTTAATGGCTACCACACACCACACAATGGATGTCTAGATAGCATAGGTTTTATGTATAAAGAGCAGTTCCAAAAGTGAAGCAATCACCGTGGAAACCAATAGAACAGGGGTTCTCAACCCAGTCCTCAGGACCCCCTACCAGTCCAGGATTTGGGGATTACCTGGGTGTGTCTCAGGTGTTTAGAAAAAGGGAAAAAGACACCTTAGACTCTAAGGTGTTTTTTTTTTTCTAAACACCTTAGACACACCCAGGTAATCCCTAAACCCTGGACTGGTAGGGGGTCCTGAGGACTAACGTTGAGAACCCCTGCAATAGAATGTACCAGTTGATTGCTCCACATAACAACTTTGCATGAAAATTTAGCTTTTTACATCACCACCAATATTTCCTTTAGACCAGCTTCAACTGGCACATATGTTTTGTGTATATACAGACAAATATGGCCAGAATTCTAGCTTCTAGTACTAAAGATATTGAGAAAAATAGGAGGAAAAAATACATAAAACAAAGATAACCAGTGTTTAGAATCCACCGAGCGTAACATAATGACAACAAATGAAACAATGTTTTAACTTAAACAAAGAGGATCTGATATTCTTGTGATTTTTATCAGTTCGGGTTGTTTCTGTATCTGATTTAGCTCTAAACAAATACTTTGTATAAAGTGTAACCATTTATATTTTTATGCACCTATCATTATGTATACATTTTTATTTGTACCTGTTCCAATTCAGTGAACTAGCTTTCACAGCCAGAAAAGAGCGAGAGAAATTAAGTAAGTGAGGTAAGGTCAGGATGTATTTAAAGTAGGAGACAGGGGTGGAGGGGGGGGTAAAATGGTGACAAAACATCAATCCAATTGCCCCCCAAAACAAGGACAGAAGGTGCCTGTAGCAAGTGTGTTAAAAAATGATAAGCTTAGAGTCATGTCTACAAATCCTCACAGTTTAGGGAATAAAATCCATGAACTTGTGGAAATAATGGCAACTGATAATGTAGATTTAGTGGCTGTTACTGAGACATGGTATAAAGAGATACATTATTGGGATATAGCAATACCAGGGTACTCTTTATATAGAAAAGACAGGGAAGGCAAGAAAGGGGGAGGGGTGGCCCTATATGTGAAGGATAGCATAAAATCTAGACTAATAAAAGTTAGTGAGGCGAACATAGAGTCCGTTTGGGTTACGTTAGAATTTGGTAATCACACAGTAACTTGTGTAGGTGTGATTTATAGACCCCCCAGGACAAACAGAAGAGTTAGATAATCTACTAGTTGAGGAAATAGCTAAAATGACAATGAAGGGGGACGTTATCATCATGGGTGACTTTAATCTTCCTGATGTGAACTGGAAAACCAAAATAGCTACTTGTGCCAGGAGCACACATATTCTAAACTCCCTACTGAGATTGTCTCTAAAACAAGTTGTTGAGGAGCCAACTCGTAAAGAGGCCATACTAGATTTAGTGTTAACAAATGGAGATTTGGTATCAGATATTACTGTAGGTGAAAGTTTAGGATCCAGTGATCATCAGTCAGTGTGGTTTAATATAAGAACAGTGACTGAGTCACACCACACAAAAACAAAAGTTTTAGACTTTAGAAAAACAGACTTTTCTAAAATTAGAATATGTGTAAATGAGTCATTATCAGACTGGAGCAATTTAAATGGAATCCAAGAGAAATTGTATTATTTAAAAGTTGCACTGCTGAAGGCAAGATAAAATTGTATTAGGCTTGTCAGTAAAAGCAAAAAACCACTGTGGTACTCCGCACATGTGGCCAAAATAGTAAAAAACTAGAAGTTAGCATTTAGTAATTATATAAAAAAAAAACCATAGTGAAGAAGAAGAATTATCTATAAGATTAGGCAGAAAAAATTGATCCACAAAATAACCCTGGCCGCAAGGCGAGCAATAGCATTCACGTGGTTACAACCAGAAATGCCACACATAGCTAGTGTAATAACAAGGATTAGAGAAGTTAGGTTAATGGATGACCTGACGGCTAAGGTGCGGGGGTCTACCGGAACATTCCAGAGGCTATGGGAGCTGTGGGACGAGAGCCCATTGAACATTTAAGACTCTGTGCGTGCCGCCTCCGGTCCCCTTCCCCTCCTCCCGCCTGCCTGCACCTAACCGCTCCGCCTTCTCTTCTCTTTTCTCTTTTTTCCTCTTTCTTCTTTCTTTTACTATCTCTTTTCTTTTCTCTTCTTTTCTTCTGACATCTT